TCCCCTATCCGCCACCTGAGGACGCCCTACGTAGCCTCGTCACTAACCACTTGGGGATCCTTCAGTGAGAGAGAACCCTCAGTGAAGGAGATCCGTAGTTACAGATAGATAAGAGATAATAATTCCTTCACAGTCCCCTTCGTTCTTTTGTAGAGGAATCGGCACTATTGCACTATTACACCGCCAGTGGAGAGTGATATAGGTCAAAAATTTTTTTCGCTGAAAACTTGCACCAGGGGAGTTATCGAGGCCGCTGATCACGATTATGATATCCATTTCTGGTGCTGCGCCAAATTGGCGCCAACGGTGTTTTCACCAAATTCGCTGTAAACGTGAATATTGGGGTTATTCGAGGTCCTGATCATATCTATAACAAACACAACCCCTTTTCACGAACGTTTTCTTGCAAAAGCGGGTCGGTCCATTGTCCACTGACTTCTGCCCTCTTCACAGTTGGGAATCAAAGTCAACGTGAGCAATAGCACCAAAATGTCACCTACTCGCCCGTCGAACTACACAAGTCCTAGCTAAGTATTTACAAACATATGTAACACTTTATTCAGAATCGTCCTTGCTCTTTTGTTCCGATCAGCTCTGCGACTTTGAATGTGGCCCTAGAGAGGGCCGTTGGGTTAGCTCACGAAGGATATCGAACTCGCTCAGCAGGGGTATACTGCGGCTACCTGGTCTCAGAAGTTGTACAGGGCCTCACGTAGATCTCCAAACTGTTTTTTCACAAGAACTTCTGCATGTAGTCTTCATATCGAGCAATGTTAACGCCGTGAATCGCTTTCCAACTTCTTTGTATTTTTGCCAGAGTGACTCAATATGCTGAGTATGTGCTCCAATTTTGGAATCGACGAAGTTCAACTGATGGTTGACCTGGAGGTGTCTGTATCCGAGGGGCAGGGTGGAAATTTGAGAGTAAGCCCTCCAGCTGTCGCTGAATGTGGTGGTCCCAGGTCTTATGTATAATACTTCGTGATGAGGCGCAGGAGAGTGGGGGCATCCCTCCTCCGAACAAGGGTGAGGAATGCTCGACCGCTTCCCCTCTCGATGCCTCCGAAAAGCCATTGGTGTCTACTTACCCAGCGTCCTCGGTTGTATTTGCGCCGAGTAACCAGGGTTTCACCGATTTCCACTTCACATCCGAATCCTCCGATGATAGGTGTGTTCCTTCTAGAGTGTTCTGCGCACACGTCACGGAAACATTTCTTCCACTGAACAACGGTACGAGGATTCATGTGAAGCTCGTATGCTTCGTCCTTTACCTTTCCCATGTCGTGGTGCCAGAATTAGGACAGAGCAAACACAGTCGACGCGCCGAGGTTAAACTTGTAAAAGAATGAGCCTTTTCTAGCAGGAACGTACACCTTCGTTTCGTTCGTCTATTTAGTAAGGCACGATCCTCGGTTACACAACCAGCCATTGTGGTGCTCGTCGACGTCATGGATCCTTGGCACGATGGGCATAACGGTGTAGACATTAGTCCCATAGCTCACAGCCAATCCTGGAACTGCAGGTGATCCATCTGGAGTCTTTCGAACACATCCTTCAATAAAAAATCCATCAACTCCTGCTGGCGATTGCGTTGTCTCAAAACGTTGATAGATATTGCTTCACTTTGATAACGAAAGCGAGAAATGAATCTACGGCTACTCATGCCGATTCCTTGACTACCTGCATGCGTGGGAAGTGCCTGGAGTCATACCGTTTTCCGAAGACGTGGCTGCCTGCACGCGTGGGAAAATGCTTCTGACCTCATTCCGATTTCATTCCGTCTGCTCGAGTGGTCTGAAGCGCAGTCTCTAAGGTGCCCTCAGGTAATTGGGCTCATTCTATCATCAAAGAGAGCTATCCGTTTCACAAAGAATGCCATATTCGTAACCAGCGTACACAAGTTCACGGCGAATCTGGTGAAAACACCCTTAGCGCCAACTAACGCCAAATGGCGCCAATTTAGCGCTAGCGCTAAAAATGGATATTCGTGGTCAGCGGCCTCGATAACCCCCGTGGTGCAAGTTTCAGCGAAAAAAATTTTTTGGCCCATATCCCCCCCCCCCCCTCCCCCACTGGAGGTGCAATAGTGCAATAGTGCCGGGGAATCAACGCCTGGCTCTAAAAATTTTTTTGCTGTATATACATATAAATTTAATATGGTATTGACTTACTATGAACATAATGCAGAATAACAGCCAAGGTGGCACTTGTAATGTTACTCAGTCAACTACATAACATTTTATACTCGTTTTTTTGGCGCCAATCCTCTTCCATATAATGCATATGATCTTTAATAGAGATGTCATAAAAAATACCAATCTCAATTGATCCCACTCTTTTTAACTAATTAATTTATTTAATTATTTATATTTTTATTCTATTTGTTGTTTCTTCACCTTCGTCGCACTATTTTCGATCTTGTCTTCAATTTTTCATCATAAACTGGATCACCCAAGATTATTGTAAACTGTGCGTTTGAGAGGGCCTTACCTCTATGAAAACATGGAATCACCCTGATGGGCTTTTGAAAGTCAAGATTGGCAAGAGGGGTCAAATGTTGGCGCATTCAGTGTGAGTCGTTCCATTGTAACAAAAAATAGAGAAAACTCCTGACAACAGCCCTGCCGAAACTTTGGATAAATCCCTCTCTGCGTAAGAGTTTGGCGGCTCGCACACTCGAATTTCAGCTCAGAAAATTACAATGCATCTAATGTTTATGTTACTACAATTGCGGTTTATTCAAAAGGAAAGAAGTGGTACCAAATGTGGTGGATGTATTGGATCGGTTCTCGGAACGCACAGTAGCATAGTACAATGCGACAATAGTGATAACAGTTTATGATTAAAAACGGATACAGAACAGGTGAATTGTGATTAAAAAAATAGGCTCGTTCGTGACGAGGAGGGCTCCTGTCGTGCTGGGGTCGAGAGGACGGCCACTTGCCTGTCGTTTTCTGGACCGCCCGGCTCGATGGATTGGAGATCACATGCGACGTGACCGCGTGTTCGGAGGCCTTTCTTCCCTCCCAGGCATATCTATCCTTCGGGATGCCGACATCCTAGGCGACGTTTCCATTGCTGGCAGATTTGCCGCCTGGGCACACATTCTAATGCTCTCGTACAGACCTCTTGCATTGGCGACACGAGGGTACTTTTAGCGAAATTGCCTGCTGGTCTCTGATGACCCGAATTCCGTGTATATTTTGTCTTCAAGCACTTTGATTGCGGCAGTTCGGGAATATTTGTTCCTTTCCGACATCTTCTGCCAATTTTTCATAGAGTAAATTCCAAATTGCAAACATATTCCTCCATTTCTCGAGGTTCTCATGCGAGCAAGGTCTCCATGCGGTCACCACTTTTCCTCCCTCTTCGGAGTGCTTGCCACATACAGCAACTATCTTTGCTACTACAGATTCTTATTGAACTGGCCTAAACGGTAAACAGCCATTTGTGCACAATCAATGGATAAATAATCAAGCACATCGCGTATGCAGTGACATCATGAACAACATTTGCGGAACATAGAGCGTAATTGCCTTCAGCAACTCCGGAGAGTATGATCGAACGACTACGCTCAATCTCTTCAATGGATAGGTGACTATCAAGTGTAGTAGGTAGACTTAATTGCAGAGGAATGAGGGTTTTGAGAAGAGCTATTGTTACAAACGGAGGGCTGTTGTTTCAAGAGTGAATTTCCATACCTGAGAGACCTAACCTCTTTCGTGACTTTCCTACACCATTGCACAAGTGCCTGAGTTTGCTTCCTTTCATCACTGAGGTAACTATAGATCATCCTTAGATTCTATTTCAAGTCCAGGAATTCGTCTTCCTTCAATGAAGCCATGTGATTAGCGAGATCATTTGCTGGAGTACCAGTCGCACGCCTTTTTAGGGCTCCCTTGCGTTGTACCGGAAGAAAACTAGGCGCCACAGAAGGGTGTCCATAACGCGCTCGATTGATGAATCCCAAAGAAATCAGAGTCAATAGACCTAGAGTGGTGGCGTGCTTTAAAAAATTTGAAATTTCAACCGCCAGTCAAAAGAAGTTTCGATTGTGAGATCAAACGAAAAACACTCGATAGTATAATCGATGAATTGCAATGTCGACGCGAGGCTAAAATTAAAAGAAAACTCGAAAGATAAACCTTCCCAAGTGGTTCTTTAAAGAAGTCACACTCTGCCATATAGGTGCTCACACAGCCCAGCGAAGAAAAAGGAGCGGTAGAAACAAGTCGAAATCCGAATACATCAAAATTAGAAGAGCTAAAATAGAGACAGGATTGAAAGCACAGGGAGACACAACCGCGCGCGGTAGCCGCAAGTCTGCGAATCAGAGTGGTGCTGAAATCTCCAGCCTCTGTCGTTCATGTAATAATAGCTCGTGAGCTTATAGCACCATAGATCCATTATGTTTTTTCACAGACGTCTCCTCTTGGAAGCTCCGTAGAGGGCTGCTGTTTTCTCCGACAAAAATGATATTCAACAAAGAAGTCATTTTGAATAATTTTTTTACGTTTTACTTCGATTTTATTTCCAATTATAATAATTAGCAGTCGCATAGAATAGAATCCATCGTCAATATTGGCAAATAAACACATAAAATGGATGAGAGGATGTGAATAATGCCTATACTGTCCACTGAACCATACAGAGCACAGTCAATTTTTTCATCCATAATAATAGAGAGTTTAGGCTCTTAGCCAGCACCAATTTTACTTTTGCAAGGTCAAAACTATTGATCACTCAACAAAGTAATTAGCAGCAACGGGCAAATACGTGACGAATAGCAAACAACACTCAAAAAGCAAACAAAAACTCGATAATCGGCAGTCTGTAAACAAGGCATCACCGGATGAAAACTAAAAACAGCAAAGCAAAAGCAACATAACACAGCAACACAAATAACACCTACTCAGTAGTCTATCAATGCGAGAACTACCTCCCATTAAGTCGCATGGTGCAGAAGATGCACGTTTGCAGCTACGAATCCAAGTTGTGTGAGATCGTTTGATGAACTCAAATCATCATTTTATCCAACTCGCTCTCGACCATAGAATACCCATAAATCACTCCAACGTATATTGAGAGCGAAACAGATTTATCAACACAGAAGAGCTTTGCTCTTAAGAAATGTCATCTTATTCAAAACACTGGTACGTGCATAACCCTCTGCAAATAGGATACTGTAGCAAAACACAGGATCTCATCAAACAACGCAATTCAACGAAATATGTGCAAATGCAAGTACATTTCACTGTAAAAAAGTGAATATAAGCACGTTTACTTACCTTCGTCCCGGAATTGAATATACAGAATAATTCAGCTACATATCAGCAGGTGAATAATTATTTTCAGCAAAGAAAGCGCGGCCAGCTGTTTTGGTGTGTTGTACGCAACTGCAGACTTGTTGGAGCTCGCAACACATCTTCCATGCCTTTTTTCAGCATCAAACTCGTACAGCATCGTTTAATTACTAACTTTTTTGTTCCCTTTCATTTCTTCTTATGTGCATTTTTTCGCATTTTCTTCTTTACCGTTGTGCTACTGTAGGCCGTACCTTTCATTACCATCAAAAACCTGAAACCGTAAAATTATCGTGAGCTGTGCCTTTAAAATACTAACCAATGTCTAGAAAGAATGATAATAGAGGTGACAAATACACGACAAAAGCAATAAACTGTAAAACAGTTCCACCGAAAGCAAGAAAATATTTATGATAATAACCATGCGCCTGCATCGACAGAATGCTCGCGATGATAGACAACAAAAAATAGCAATAACATGTAGCTTACAAACCGTCACTGTCAGTCCTCTCCACCAATCAACATTTGGCGGAAGTATCTGATTGTCAGTTTCCCGCCTAAATTGAAATGTGATCAGCACAAAAACAGAACCCACAAAGGACCGAAACGTTCTGATACAGTGTTATACAAAACAAGTAAAGGAAGGATAGACAATAAGAATAAGAAGATTCACCTAGTCACGAGCACTCCTTTCCATACCAATCATGCATCCGCAAACTTAAGAGAATCCTGATGCAGGTGAAGCCTTACTTCTACCCTCGCCTCCCTCAACATGTTATTAGTATTCGTACTGAGCCCGCTTCTCGTTGCATCGAGAACAGCATTCTGAATGAAGCAGATGACTGGAGGGACAAATGAAGAGCATGAAGATGGTGACTCAAATAGAAAGAGCAAACAAGAGCTTATATAGGTAAAGTTTGTAGGTACAATATAATCATTGTAATACCATATCAAAAGCCATGGATGTAAATTAGGAA